ACAAGTACTTGTCAAAATGCCCCGTTTTTTCCGCCCTCACCCTGCAGCGCCCTCAGGCGTCCGCTTGCCTTGCGGTAGCGCCGGGCCTGCTTGTACCCCTGTATATTACGGTCCCGGAGGAAATCGTCCAATCGCCTCTTGAATGATTCCACACTCTCAGCCGAAATCACAGCATGTGGCAGCGAGTTCCAGACCCTGACTGATCTAACTGAGAAGAAACCCTCGTCATGGAGTTCATTGTAAAAAGTTTCCTCCTAATGCTACTATCCCCGGTAAACATTTTATACATGAAAATCATGTCCCCCCCTTAATCTCCTTACTTCCAATGAGAACATGTTTAGATTTAGTAGCCTTGTCTCGTAGCTCTGGTCCTCCATCCCCTTTATGAGTTTGGTCGCCCTCCTCTGGACTCTTTCCAGATTGGCAGTGATCGAGGAGGCGGGGCCCGGCGATCGAGGGGCGGGTACTGCCCGCCTGAGACCCTGCAGAGCCCACCATAGAGAGTCTATGGTGGGCTCTGCAGGGTCACCCTTAGGTGGGCTGTTTGGGTTATCAGGTGGGCATAACTAGAAATCACAGGGCCCCATACAAAATTTTGCTATGGGCCCTGTGATTTCTAGTTACGCCCCTGACTGCAAGCTATTATTCTTCAGCCTGTGGTCTACAATGACCCCCAAATCCGTTTCCCTTTCGTACTACCCCAGCGGAGCTCCCATTAGTGTGTAATCCGCTTTCTTATTTTTAACCCCAAAGTGCACAACCTTACATTTATCTACATTAAACCTCATCTGCCATGTGGTTGCCCCTCTGCCTATTTTATCCAGATCCTCCTGTAATGTTATAGTGTCTGATTCATTGTCTATTACCCTCCCGATTTTGGTATCGTCAGCAAACACTGAAACATGGCTGTTTACCCCCTCCACAATATCTTTAATGAATAGGTTAAACAGCATGGGGCCCAGTACAGATCCCTTGTTGGGTTGCATACTGCAGGATACAACATAGGAACCCGGACGTCATAGCCCTGGTGGGACCTAAATTGGGGCAATAGGGAAAGGCCAGGCCTAGACTAGGGGCCGAACTGGCTAGCACAATGGCAGACGGTGATAAAGCACCTGAAGCTGTTGATGTAAGGACACGTTTTTTTGGCAGATCAGGTGGTGAGTGTTGCTTAAAGAGGCAATGTCACCTTGCCCAAGCACAGTGAATTGGCGATGTCTCTGCAAAGGGGCCCTCTGATTCCGTTATACTCGTGTACTCCTTGTTTTGCCAAAGACGATGACGCTTCCCGGCACCCGGTAAGGAGGAGCATGTGGCCTTCATTTCTCAAGCTTAGCAGCCAATTGTTGGCTCAGAAAGGGTCATATGACTGTGGGAATCCATGTAAGGTGCGTAAAAGGGGGTCCCCTTGGCAGGGACACTGATATTGTCATTGCCCTGCATGGACAAGGTGACAATGGTGACAGTGTCTCTTTATTGGGGAGCATGGAAACAGATGAAGGCAGAATTGGGCTCTACGCATGGTAGAGGCTTTGGCTTCCCAAGTCCCTTCCATTGACACCGATAAGGATTACGATAGGCTTCCCTATTCGCAATGTCCATACTGGCATGGCCCCATCAGACACCAACTGCTTACAAATACGTCTGATAAGGGAGGCTCTGACCAATTGTGCTATCATCTGAAGGTTGGAGCTGGGCCCCTTGAACATCCACCGGGCCATAGGCTCCAGCTTAGGTGGCCTTATGGATGACCCATTGCTGGCACAGCACCATGGGATACAGGCATGGAGAATTAGACTGTATCTTGCATACCAGTCATAAGGGGAAGATTTATAAACTATCCACCCAGCCATACACTGGCCGAAAGCCATTCACACAGCATGCTCACCACTAGATGGAGTCAAGAAGTTTAGGAAACGCTGCTTGGCTCCATCTAGTGGCAGGAATGCCATTCATTAGTTAGTTCCAATGGGATAAGGTCATGCACGTGGTAGATGCTAACTCAATTACATCACTTCCAGGTATACATTGTCTCTAAAACACCTAAGCCAGGGGTGGACAATTTAATATAGAATCCAGGCGCCAGTCTGTCCAATTTCGGAGCCAGTGGGATTTTTTTTAGGTGCCAGCTCCCTTGACAACAACAACTAGACTAGAGAGGACCTCAAAAGTTAGGTGCCGGCTGTACTTTTTAAGGAACCTTGGAGACCTGGCTGCTGGGATTCATCCAGCCCTGACCTAAGCTATGTATAATCCCACCTCATGCTGGTGGCATCATAGCTAAATAGGATTATGAGTCCCTTCTCTCAGCATTTTTTATTAACCCCCTAAAAATCGGGTATTTTTAAAGAGGGAAAGGCAGTAGACCACATTCTGGCTCCTTTCTCTGCCAGTGTCCCTATTATGTAGATTTGTTTTTACTTCCTGTCCCGACGACCTCTGCCATTGGGCTATGAAATTGAACGGGGTCTCCTCAGCAAGAACAAAGGTGGTGGTGGAAACCAGAAAGAGGTTCCAGTCTGTTCCGCTCTTCAAATATGTATGGAGGCAAATGGTTTGTCCTCTTGCTTCCTCCATTGTGACTGACTACATTCATCCGCTCCCCTCCCCTTGTCCAATCACAGGACATTCACATTCAGAGAAAAGAATACAAGACATTCTATGAATGGCTGAGGTGAAGAGCAAGTGTACCCGCTATGAGTGGTGACTGTAGGTTTCAAAGAGGGATATTCAGCGTTTACACTTCATGACCGTAAGCAGGGCCGGATTTACCCTCTCTGCTGCCCCAAGACCAGGTTCTTTAACACGCCCCCCTACCTGCCAACCTGTAATAAAATCACTAAAGAACATACATTTTGGAATATATCCGCAGAGAACAAACATTTAAAGATGTTCACAGGGCAAACAGACATGAAAATGGATTATGATTATCTCAAACCTGGTCTCAAAGTATCACCCTAACGGTCCCCTCCGCTCTTCATAAGACCTCCTGCTTTCCGGCTCCCTCGTCAACTCCTCCCATGCTCGCCTCCAGGACTTCACTAGAGTCTCTCCCATCCTATGGAACTCTCTAACCCAACCTGTCCGTCTATCTCCCACTCTGACTTCCTTTAGGCGATGCCTCAAGACTCATCTCTTCAGGGAAGCCGATCCCACCTCAACCTAACCACTGAACAATCACATTCTAGAACAATTCATCCCCACACAGCTACCTCCTCATGTATCACTGGCCCCTCCCCTTTTAGATTGTAAGCCCTCAGGGGCAGGGCCCTCCTTACCATCTTGTCTTGAATTGTATTGTGATTGTAATGATTTCCTTATATTGTACAGCGTGCTCGCCTCCAGGACTTCACTAGAGTCTCTCCCATCCTATGGAACTCTCTAACCCAACCTGTCCGTCTATCTCCCACTCTGACTTCCTTTAGGCGATGCCTCAAGACTCATCTCTTCAGGGAAGCCGATCCCACCTCAACCTAACCACTGAACAATCACATTCTAGAACAATTCATCCCCACACAGCTACCTCCTCATGTATCACTGGCCCCTCCCCTTTTAGATTGTAAGCCCTCAGGGGCAGGGCCCTCCTTACCATCTTGTCTTGAATTGTATTGTGATTGTAATGATTTCCTTATATTGTACAGCGCTGCACACACTGTTGGCACTATATAAATCCTGTATAATAATAATAATTATGAGTAGACCCCTAAGAGTGTCAAAGAATGCAGCAGCAGCCAGATATGAGACAACAATCATTAGAGGTACGGTCAGTGGCGTAACAATCGCCTTAGCGACCCAGGCGACCGCTATGGGGCCCGGCCAGGGCATCCCTCTGATGCCGTGTGGGCTGCCATGTGACACAGCTCCACAGCGGCTGTGCCAGTGGCAGCCAGCAGCAGCGGCAGAAGAGGCCGGTTACACCGGCGTTCGCAGTGAAAGAGGAGGCCGGGGGCCCGCCTTAGAGCAACCCCGCCTCCTCTTACATCACTGGCCAGCGACCTAAGAGCAGGTGGGGCCAGTGATGTAAGAGGAGGCAGGGGCCGTCGATAGAAGGAGGCGGGGCCCGGTGACCACGGAGGCGGACAACCCTGAAAGGTAAAAGGTGTGCAGCACATCTGAGACCCTGCAGAGCCCACTATAGAGAGTCTATGGTGGGCTTTGCAAGGTCACTCTCAGGTGGGCTCTGCAAGTGGCATAACTAGCAATCACGGGGCCCCATACAAAATTTTGCTATGGGGCCCCTGGGTACGGTATTTCATTTTTGCAAAGCAACTGTCAAAAAGAGAGAGTTTTTATTTTTTTTGTTATTTATTTTAAGTAATTTTATATATTTTTTTGTTTTGTTTAGGTGTCTTATGTGCTGTAAATGTCGACGAATGTGAAAATAACCCGTGCCAGAATGGAGCCACTTGCCTGGATGGAGTTGCTGACTATGCCTGTACATGCCAACAGCCAGGGCTTGACGGTATTACATGGGGAGGTAAAAACTGCTCTGTGGTGCTGGTGGGATGCTTGAATCACAGGTGCCAAAATGATGCCACGTGCATCCCAACATACCAGCTGGAGATCCATAGTTATGCCTGCAAATGTCAGCCGGGGTTTCATGGGGACCACTGTTCCACTCCCACCACATTTTCATTCACATCCAGCGGGTATATTTTTTACGATCTGAATGTTGCAAACAGAAGCAAGAGGAGCCTTCAAGGAGACAGCGCTCACATGACCATAAGTTTTAGGACAACTTTACCGACCATGGTTCTCTTTTATCGGGGTGATGGAGATAGCTTCCTAATTCTGGAGCTTTATAACGGATTGCTGCAAGTTTTATTTCAGAACCATAATTTTTCCTCCCGCCTTGTCATCGATGAGCACCGAGTTGACGACGGCCGTTGGCACAAAGCCCGGGTTAGCCTGAACTCATCTCTAGACCTGATCCTTCAGCACGATGGTTGTAGTAACGGTTCTTGTTCCAGAACTCGGGCCGCTGGTGACGACCGTGATTCTCGACTTCCTGAGTCATTCGCTTCTGTGTACATTGGTGGGCTTACCCTTGGCTCACTGCTGAACAACACGGCAAGCAGAACAAACTTCACTGGTTGTATGCAAGACGTCACCATTGACTTCAAGACCTTGCTACCTCAGAATATAACACAAGGAAGCTCTTTTGATATGGAGCTTGGATGCAATAAAACGGATTTGTGCGACCCCAACCCATGTCGTCATGAGTCACCGTGCGTCGACCTGTGGACCAGATATAAATGTGACTGTGTCAGGCCATACACTGGTCCATCCTGTTTGCAAGGTAAGCAAATTATTTGTCTTTATAGCCACTATTGTATAGTAAGACCTTTGAGAATCGGAAAAATAAAGTATGTTGCTGTCAATGTTTTTGTGAGGACTATGAGGGTTATTCACAAAAGGGTGAAGAGTTTGGAGAAGGCAGGAAAAGTGAACAATCTAGGACAGGGGTGCCTATTGGATCGATCGCGATCTACCAGTTGATCGCAAAGCTAACACTGGTAGATCGCGATCGGCTCACTGTCCACCCACAGTGCTCATGCGGCTGCTTAAAGTAGTATTAAGGTCTGGGGGCGTTTTTTACCTTAATGCATTCACTGCATTAGGGTAAAAACAGCCCAGGACCTTTTTTTTTACCCCAGTCTCCCCCACACTTACCTCTCAGCTCGTCCCCGCTGCCGGTCCCAAAGCGATCCTCCGTACCCCGAACTTCCGGGTTGCGGGGGAGGATACTGATGGCAGAGGAGCCATAGGCTCCTTCTGCCATCAATCAAAGAAGGAAGGGGCGTGGCCTGCCACGGGGCTGTGTGTGTCTATGGGCCCACACAGCCACTGCGGGGACGAGTGCGCACGGGTGCCTCCATTAGAACGATGGTGGACCCGTGCAGGGGGTGGGGGGAAGTGCATGGCAGGGGCACACTAGAAAACGAGGAAAGAAGTGCTTTGCAAAAAAAAAAAACACAACAACCTCCAGCAAAGGACGGTCTCCTTAAAGGCGAAATGAAAAAAAAAATGTGGCTTTAATATCACTTTAACTTGTTGAGTTTAGTTCCACTTTATATATGCTAATGCAATTCCGCCCGTCTGCCCCATGTTCTTGTAACCATATTCCATCTCTATTAACATTCATCTGTGATTCCCTTACCTCATACCTCCCTTACCGCATGTAATAAAAAACATTTCATCCTTGTGAACATTTCTTTTTGATCTCTTCCTGATCAAGATAATAAGATGTTTCTTTCTACCTTCCAATAGAATATACATCTGCTACTTTCTTCCACGAGATGGTGCCAAGCTACGCCAGCTTTGAAGTCGCCCAGGACATCGGAAATTCATTTAATGTGTCGGCTTTCGTCAGGACTCTCAAACCAGACGGCCTTCTGCTGCAGATCGGTAATGGCAGCACCGCCCGTACAGTCTTTACAGTCTACCTGAATTCTGGACGTATTCACGTTACGGTCGCCTCAGCGAAAACGGTGTCTTTCAGTGAATATGTTAGTAATGGCAAGAAACACAAGATCAATATATCTGTTAAAGAAGGTCTTGTCTCGGTCAATGGTGTGAACAGCATGGAAGATCCGGGCCAGCTGCCGCCCCTATCTCTGGCAGCAGGAGACACGGTTCTTGTCGGAGGAATGCCCCCAAGTGGGAATATTGATCGGTGGGGGGGATATTTCAAAGGATGTTTGCAAGATATGCGAATCAATAACAATCATCTGGAGTTTTTCCCAATGGATGATGAAGAAGACGTTGCCTTCTATAATGGCTCCATTAGTAATGTTACAAAGGATTGTCTGTCCGATGATACATGCAAAGTGAGTATTGTTGTATTATAGATACATTGATGTGTATGCAATAACAAGTAAGGAAGGGTTAAAACTAGGCATGCACCGATACCGGTGCTTCCGTCGGCATGGAGCTGGCTTCACGGGCAATCAGGAAGCTGGGCGGCAGGTGTCACCCGGCTTCCTGATTGCACGAGAAGCCGGCTCCCATGTGGTTTGGCCAGCTTCCCGGACAATCAGGATGCCGGGCTGCGAGTAATGACCCTCCTGCCGGCTTCCTGATTGGCCAGGAAGCTGGCTCCATGCTGATTGGCTGGAAAGCCGGCTTCTCAGCCAATCAGCAAGGAGCCAGCTTTTCGGTCGGCTCCATGCTGCTTGGCCAGGAAGCCGGCTTCTCAGCCAATCTGCAAGGAGCCAGCTGTTCGGCCCGGCCAATCAGGCATCCGGGAGGCGGGTCATTACTCGCCACCCAGTTTCCTTTGGTAAGCTAGCTCCATGTTCCTTTATGGCACTGCTGGTCAGAGAAAATCTTCCTTTAACTGGAAGTTCCGGTATCGGTGAAGGTATCGGAGCATTTGGGGGAGTTTGAGTACTCACCCAAATACTCGGTATCTGCACCGATACCGATACTAGTATCGGTCCATCCCTAGTTAAAACCCCTGCCGAGTTATTTTTTTGCTGTGTACCATTGGCAAAATATTTCTTTGCTTTATATCTCAGAGATGCAACAGAAAATTTGAGGAAATCTCCCAAAGTGGGGGAAATTGCCTTCCTAGACAGTTGTCCCCAGAACAGGTGTCGCCTTTGGACATCTCTTGCATTGAGGACAACTTTAAAATGTTGCATTTCCCCCCTGACTTTCTTTCTCGGTGGCAATGGTCACCAGTACAAAGAGAGGGGTGAATCTCCCCAGCGGGACAACAATTACAACTTGACAGATTGTCTAACCCTTCCCCACTCTATGCAAAATATAGAAAATCCATCAAAAACCAAAAGTTATGCCTATAGATGGACTTCAAGGTCTGATATCTCATTGATATGCCTGTGAAGGTTCTCCTTTATCCAGGTCATGGCATAGTTAGTAGTCAGCCTGAGGTGGACCCCAAAGGGTAGGGAGGGCTGACGTTTCACTCTCAAGGGCAGATCCTTAGCCAGTTGAGGGACATGTGATTGACAAATTGGGCGCCAGTCACTTTAAGTGCCTTTTTAAATGCTTTATTTTAGAACAGCTTAACTGGGAGAGCAGCTTCAGACATCCGAAAATAGAACAGACTCCAGACTCACCAATCCACTCAGTCTTCCTCAGTGCAGAATTATTAGGAGAACAGGCTGACTCTGGGTAATAGAGCAACAGCGGAATGGAGATGTGCATGAGATCTTCCCTGAGAGAGACACCAGACTTGTTCCTGAGGTTCATCAGCTCCTGGTACCTCCAGCAGTCATGGGGCTTCTCTGGTTCTCCTCCCAGATAATTCTAGACCCCAACTGAGTCCACCTGTGGCCTCCTCCAGGCTTAAAGGAGAACTATGGGGTCAGTGTTTTTCCCCATAGTTCTCCTTAGGGTAACGGGAGGACACAAACTAGCGTCCTCCCGTCACCCTAAGCTCAGTATATAGAGAGCTACAGCTCGCGGTATACTGAGACGCCGCAGCCGGAGCGGATCCCGACTTAGATGACGGGATCCGCCCAGCTGCGTGAGTGACAGCTGGCTCTGCCTATCTAGAGGCAGAGCCAGCTGTACCCGCCCCCGTCCGTTCCGCCAGTCAGCGCTGGCAGATCGGAGAGGGGAATCCAGCCCCTCCCCCTGTCACGGCAGAGAGCCGTGACAGGATCGAGAGGTGAGTGAACCCGGTATGTGTTCGCTCACCTCCCGATCTACTGAGTCGACCTGTGACAGTCTCATTGTCACAGGTCGGCTAGAACTATGAGGTGAGTGAAAAGCACCCCTCCCCCCTCATAGTTCTCCTTTAAGGCCTAGTCAGTTTGTTCATCATTGTACATCTCCCAGGCCAAGCTGACTGCCTGACTAAGCACATGGCAAGTTTATTTATTTATACACTCCACCAGCATGGTGGTACCACTGGCCATGAAAACTCCTAGTGATTGGCCGGTGGAGCACAGACACTCATGATGTTCCTCTATTGGCTCCCCCAATCTGTAGCTGGGTCGCACCCCACCCACGCAGGTGCAGTCAACAGCAGAACGCCTGGAATTAACCAGATAATAACCAAATACAAATCAGCTGATTACAGGACTAGCAAACCTAAACTTCTAGCAGCCACTCCAGTGATGGTGGCAGAGGCTACACACTGTTTGAATAAAGACCTAATGTTTGCCTGTTCAAATGTGTTGAGTCAGCAATTTCCTTGGGGTGCATATCATTTTTCACATGACTGTGTGTCCGGGTCCTGGATCTTTTGGATGTACAGGAGATAGGAACCCAAATGTGTCTAAAATATAGTTGTATATTATTATTATAATTATACAGGGTTTATAGAGCGCCAACAGTTTGCGCAGCGATGTACAATATAAGGAAGACATTACAATCACAATACAAATCAAGACAAGATGGTAAGGAGGGCCCTGCCCCTGAGGGCTTACAATCTAAAAGGGAGGGGCCAGTGATACATGAGGAGGTAGCTGTGTGGGGATGAATGGTTGAGTGGTCAGGTTGAGGTGGGATTGGCTTCCCTGAAGAGATGAGTCTTAAGGGTTCGCCTAAAGGCAGTCAGTGTGGGAGATAGACGGACAGGTTGGGGTAAAGAGTTCCACAGGATGGGGGGAGACTCTAGTGAAGTCCTGGAGGCGAGCATGGGAGGAGTTGACGAGGGAGCTGGAAAGCAGGAGGTCTTTTGAAGAGCGGAGGGGACGGTTAGGGTGATACTTTGAGACAAGGTTGGAGATATAGCCGGGTGGCCGAGTTGTGGATGGCTTTGTAAGGGGTTGTTAAAGGAGAACTATGGGGTCAGTGTTTTTCCCCATAGTTCTCCTTGGGGTAACGGGAGGACACAAACTAGCGTCCTCCCGTTACCCTAAGCTCAGTATATAGGGAGCTTCAGCTCGCGGTATACTGAGATGCCGCACCTGGAGCGGATCCCGACTTAGATGACGGGATCCGCCCAGCTGCGTGAGTGACAGCTGGCTCTGCCTATCTAGAGGCAGAGCCAGCTGTACCCGCCCCCTCCCCCGTCCGTTCCGCCAGTCAGCGCTGGCAGATCGGAGCGGGGAGGGGGGAATCCAGCCCCTCCCCTGTCACGGCAGAGAGCCGTGACAGGATCGAGAGGTGAGAGGACGCCGGTATGTGTTCGCTCACCTCCCGATCTACTGAGCCGACCTGTGACAGTCTCATTGTCACAGGTCGGCTTAGAACTATGAGGTGAGTGGAAATCACTCATGTCATAGTTCTCCTTTAATATTTTCCATGTTATCCTTTAGGCTATTGTATAAGATTAATCTCACTCAACTCCAAAGTAATATTATATACACGCGTCTTGTGCCCATTGTGTTGTCTTTTCAGCTTCCATTTCTCTGTTGTCAGTGTATGTTGTATATTACTCAACATGTTTATATTTTTCCAGCCTGGCCCTTGCAAGAATGACGGCACTTGTGCTGTGACTTGGAATGAATTCACCTGCACCTGTTCAGCCAACTTTACCGGGGCGACATGTGAAGAGCCCGTGTGGTGTCTTCGTAGACCATGCCCAGCGGATTCCACGTGTCGAGACATCCCTGGAGCATACACATGTATGGACCATTCGCTATAGTTTTAAGTTGTATCAATCATCCTTGTAGTATGTTATTCTTTGTTTCTTATGCAATAGCCTATGCAGATTTTTAAAGGAGAACTATGGGGTTCAGGCTTTTCCCCATAGTTCTCCCTTAGGGTAACGGGAGGACACAAACTAGCGTCCTCCCATCACCCTAGGCTCAGTATACCGCGAGCTGTAGCTCCCTATATACTGAGACGCCGCAGCTGAAGCGGATCCCGACAATTGTGCCGGGATCCACCCAGCTGCGTGACTGACAGCTGGCTCTGCCTATCTAGAGGCAGAGCCAGCTGTACCCGCCCCCTCACCCGTCCGTTCCGCCAGTCAGCGCTGGCGGATCGGAGCGGGGGGGAATCCAGCCCCTCCCCTGTCACGGCACAGAGCCATGACAGGATCGAGAGGTGAGCGAACGCCGGTATGTGTTCGCTCACCTCCCGATCTACTGAGCCGACCTGTGACAGTCTCATTGTCACAGGTCGGCTAGAACTATGAGGTGAGTGAAAAGCACCCCCATCATAGTTCTCCTTTAATGCAATAATCTATACCGGGAGAAGGCAACCTTGGTACTCCAGCTGTTGTGAAATACAAGTCCCACGAGGCGTTACAAGACTCTGGTAGCCGCAGGCATGACTCCCGTGATGGGATTTGTGGTTTCAGCACAGCTGGAGTGCTGAGGTTGCTTACCGCTGATCGATACTGTGCATGAGATACAGGGCCGGCCTTAGGCCTTTAGGCGCCCTGTGCGAGAAAGCTTTACAGCGCCCCTCAGTGACCACACCCCTCAGAGACCACACCCCTCAGTGACCAGCGGAGCTCCTGGTTGCCAGGAGCGGGGTGGGACACCAGCCGTGGGGTCGTGGTAGGGCGTGTGCTGGTGGTGCAGGTTACTGGGGGGTTTGCTAGTGATGAGCTTTAGGCTAAGCATGATACCTCCATCCGGTGTCCCGCCCAGCTCTCAATATCCGCACCATTTAAAGACCCCCATTTTTTTAAGCCCCAAAGAAACACATTAAAAAGTATGATAAAAAAAATAAAACTTTTATTCAAAGGGATTAAACTTGTCGGCACAATATAAGTATTCTTATTAAATAAAACAACAAATGGTAAACGATAAATGTCAAACTAAAATAGAGTCTATAAAAAAAAGTGTCATGTTGTCATGCCGATCCCTTTGTTCAAGTAAGTGCTTCTCTCTCCCCCTTACCGCTCGGCCATTCGAGCTGTGTCGGCCGCCTGGTGCCCCCGTTGCCGTGGCGCCCTGTGCGGCCCTGATGAGATACACACTGAGGTCCCCTGATGTTATTCATGTTGTATTTGCAGGCCTTGTCAACGCAACCTTTGAAGAACAGAACTCGGTGGTCTTCACTTCCAACATTTCATCAGAGATAAATCTTACATCAGTGGATTTTAGAACCAGAGACAGGAATGCGGTTCTGTTGCGGGCCTCCAAGGATCTGGACCATATTTCCATCATCATTCATGAGGGCCGCCTGCATGTCTCTATACAGAGCGGGAACAGCGTGGAGCGAGTAAGTTATAAGGGTGAAATAATGGTCTCCGATGCTTTATGGCACAGGGTTCTGGTAAAGATGAAGTACCCCACGCAGGTGCCTCCTCAATGGACAATAGGCTTTGATAATAACGAATCGATGACCCTGTTAGGAAGCGCTGGTAGTCTGAGCTTCCTGACTGAAGGCACGCCCATTGTACTGGCCGAGAACTACACCGGATGCCTCGGACAAGTCTCTATAGGACGTTTTTACATTCCGTTTGCGGACCGGTTGTTTCTTCAGCCCTTCATTAGGCAAAGCCCCGATCCCCTGACATTGGGTTGTAGAGGAGCTGATGTTTGCTCCGGGGCTCAGTGCCTGCATGGCGGAAAGTGTCAGGATGACTTTAACTCGTTCAGCTGCGCATGTGCGGAAGGATGGGAAGGACCGCGCTGTGAAGTGAACATCGATGACTGCAAATCCCAGCCTTGTGCTCACGGCTTATGTATAGACCTGGAGGCCAATTATCGATGTGACTGTTTCCCTGGGTACACCGGCAGGAACTGTGACACCAACGTGGATGACTGTCAGCATCATCGGTGTTTGAACAGAGGGACGTGCTTAGATGGCTTGAATAACTACACCTGCCAATGCCCAACTACCTATGCAGGAGATTACTGCCAGTGAGTATTAATTCTGATTGCCATTGTAAATACAAGAGTCATGTGTATTCCTCCATGTATCTAGCTGAGTTTTGTGTATTTCTTCCAGATCTGTCCAGTTGCCCAGAAACTTGGAGCTCCCTGTAATAAAGACTGCTCACTGCTGCTCTATGTCCTTGTGCAGTGTGACTTGTCTTGTCTCCGCCCCCTCCTGTAATAAAGACCGGTCACTGCTGCTCTCTGTCCTTGTGCAGGGTGACTGGTCTTGTCTCCGCCCCCTCCTGTAATAAAGACTGCTCACTGCTGCTCTATGTCCTTGTGCAGTGTGACTTGTCTTGTCTCCGCCCCCTCCTGTAATAAAGACCGGTCACTGCTGCTCTCTGTCCTTGTGCAGGGTGACTGGTCTTGTCTCCGCCCCCTCCTATAATAAAGACTGCTCACTGCTGCTCTCTGTCCTTGTGCAGGGTGACTGGTCTTGTCTCCGCCCCCTCCTGTAATAAAGACTGCTCACTGCTGCTCTCTGTCCTTGTGCAGGGTGACTGGTCTTGTCTCCGCCCCCTCCTGTAATAAAGACTGCTCACTGCTGCTCTCTGTCCTTGTGCAGGGTGACTGGTCTTGTCTCCGCCCCCTCCTGTAATAAAGACCGCTCACTGCTGCTCTCTGTCCTTGTGCAGGGTGACTGGTCTTGTCTCCGCCCCCTCCTGTAATAAAGACCGCTCACTGCTGCTCTCTGTCCTTGTGCAGGGTGACTGGTCTTGTCTCCGCCCCCTCCTGTAATAAAGACCGCTCACTGCTGCTCTCTGTCCTTGTGCAGGGTGACTGGTCTTGTCTCCGCCCCCTCCTGTAATAAAGACCGCTCACTGCTGCTCTCTCTCCTTGTGCAGGGTGACTGGTCTTGTCTCCGCCCCCTCCTGTAATAAAGACCGCTCACTGCTGCTCTCTCTCCTTGTGCAGGGTGACTGGTCTTGTCTCCGCCCCCTCCTGTAATAAAGACCGCTCACTGCTGCTCTCTCTCCTTGTGCAGGGTGACTGGTCTTGTCTCCGCCCCCTCCTGTAATAAAGACCGCTCACTGCTGCTCTGTGCCTGCACGGGTGTGTCAGAGAGCCGCCACCTGGGAGCCGCCCCTCAGCTCAACATCCACACCATCGGTGGCTCTGCTGAAGACCAGGCGGCTCCTTAGATCCTGCGACTCTGGCACACCTGCGTTTGTTGTGCGGTCACACTGCCCCTGCATCTTCAGAGACCCGTATTCCTGCCCATTCCTAATTCAGTCGCAATATACTACTCCGCAAGACCAGAAGTTTACACTTTCTGGTGCTCCAGTGCCCTAATCGTGACACTAAGCATGTCTACTCTATCACACGTGTTGTATACAAGTGAGCCATGTTGTCTTTTTGCACCACATACAATGCTCTTACATGTAAACTGCTTTCCCATCAGGTGGCCTTACCCCCCGGAGAGGTGCGGTATCAATGTAACATGTCTTAATGGAGGCAAATGTAAAGGGGGAATCTGGGGAGCCAACTGCACCTGCATACCGGGCTTCAAGGGCAAAAGGTAAAAAAAAAAAAAAAATGGGGGTTTGTGTGGAATTTTGTGTGTATTGTTGTCCTCTGGTCAGTAGAGAAACGCCAACCCAACTTGTTGAGGGTTCTTCTTGTGCTTCCTGTGTCCTGTAGGAGAACTTCAATGCAAATGTGTCTTCTCACTAAAAATAAATACTTAACTTTCGTTGCCTTAAAGCCAGAGGTGCACCGAAATGGAAATTTTAAGAAACCGAGACGAAACAAAAAAAAATTGTCAGGCCGAAAACCGAAAATGTTTTGTAGTTTAATTTTTTCAAATATTTAATTTTAATTTTTATTTCTTTTTTATAAACTTTTTTATTTTTTTTATATTTCTTTTTATTTATTTATTCATTTTTTATAAAATAAAGGACACGTCATTTCCGGCAGGCTGAACCCGGCCTTTTCTGTACTTGCTGAAAATGTCTTTGGCCTGAAAATGGTGAACTCTAATGCAGACACTGGAATAGTTTCATTGATGCTTAGTGTCCCGCCCTCTAAAACGTTTCGCCCAATCACAGGCCTAGTCATAGAGAAGTTTTTCGTTGCTTCTCTTTGAGCTTGAGGGAAGTGACGAGGACACGCCCTTTGCGGCAGCCTGAACCGGCCTTTTCTGTACTAAAATGTCTTTAGCCTGAAAAAGGTGAAATCCAATGTAGACACTGGAATAGTTTCATTGATGCCTAGTGCCCCGCCCAAGGTCAGCTTGTCGAACGCGTTTCGGCCAATCATAGGCTTAGTTGTAGAGCTGTTTTCGACAGGCCTTTTCTGTACTTGCTAAAAATGTCCTTGGCCTGAAACAGTGACAACTATTGTAGACACTGGAATAGTTTTATTGATGGTCAGTGCCTCGCTCAAGGTCAGCCCCCTCTAAAGCATTTCACCCAATCACAGGCTTAGTCGTAGAGATGTTCTTTGGTGCTCTAAGGAAGTGACGAGGACACGCCCTTTGCGGCAGGCTCGACGGGCCTTTTCTGTACTTGCTGAAAATGTCCTTGGCCTGAAAAAGTTAAATCTACTGTAGACACTGGAATGGTTTCATTGATGCCTAGTGCCCCGCCCAAGCTCAGCCCCTTGAACGCGTTTCGGCCAATCACAGGCCCAGTCATAGAGATGTTCTTTGGTGCTTCCTTTTGAGCTCGAGGGAAGTGACAAGGACACGTTATTGCCGGCAGGCTCGACAGGCCTTTTCTGTAGTTGCTGAAAATGTCCTTGGCCTGAAAAAGTGAAAACTATTGTAGACACTGGAATAGTTTTATTGATGCTCAGTGCCTCGCTCAAGGTCAGCCCCCTCTAAAGCATTTCACCCAATCACAGGCTTAGTCGTAGAGAAGTTCTTCGTTGCTTTTGAGCTCATGGGAAGTGACGAGGACGCGCCATTTCCGGCAGGCTCAACCGGCCTTTTCTGTACTTGCTGAAAATGTCCTAAAAAAGTGAAATGCAATGTAGACACTGGAATGGTTTATTGATGCTCAGTGTCCCGCCCTCTAAAGCGTTTTGTCCAATCACAGGCTTAGTCTCAGAGAAGGCCTTTGGTTCTTGAGGGAAGTGACAAGGACACGTCATTTCCGGCAGGCTGAACAGGCCTTTTCTGTACTTGCTGCAAATGCCCTTGGACTGAAACAGTGACAACTATTGTAGACACTGGAATAGTTTCATTGATGCTTAGTGTCCCGCCCTCTAAAACGTTTCGCCCAATCACAGGCCTAGTCATAGAGAAGTTCTTCGTTGCTTTCTTTTGAGCTCATGGGAAGTGACGAGGACACGCCCTTTCCGGCAGGCGCGACAGGCCTTTTCTGTACTTGCTGAAAATGCTCTTGGCCTTGAAACAGTGAAAACCAATGTAGACACCACCATCAAAGGCCTGGAAAGCTACAATGTATCACTCTCATCGTTTTGTTTTTGTTGTTGTTTGGATACAATGTTTTTGAATTGTTACGTTTGAAGAATTGACTGTATTATGTTTACGGCCACCCAGGTGTGAAATTAACATCGACGACTGCGCGCCGAACCCGTGTCTTAACGGCGGATCCTGCCAGGACTCTGTCAACAATTTCAAATGCATCTGCAACGCAAGCTTTAGCGGGGTCCGCTGCGAGGTAAGCCGTCCCGTACGTTCAAGCATGACACCCCACCGTGTCCAAAATTTACAACACCCCGCTCATCACACACACAAACGCATGTTAACCCAGAAGGCCGTCTCAGTTCCCGCACTCTGCAACCTGCGTTCTTTCATTGCTGTTGCTTTTGTCAGGGACCTGCATGCTTGTAAAGCGACTGTTAACAATCTGTTTGCATGTTTCTGTGTAACAAAGTATCGATCTCGTCGTGTGTAACTGTCTCCAAACAATCGGTACACGGCTGGATCTATAACAAATATGCCTTTAAAGAGACTACAACTCCTCCCAACATTCTGACTTTTGTTACAAGAGATGCCTTAAAAAAAAAAAGATCAATTTATGGTCCAATAAGTAAAAACCAATGTATGGAGTTTCAGGTTAATGGTCTATTTATATTATTTTATCCACTGGTTTCAATATACACTATATTGCCAAAAGTATTGGGACGCCCCTCCAAATCATTGGATTCAGGTGTCTCGTGACATTTCCTGGCTACTAAATATTCCGCCGCGGTCACCTGTTACTGGGATTATAACTTCAGGGGGCAGTCCAAAGATTGCCTGAACTTCTTTACAGTGTGAGCAACGCAGCCTGTTGCATGTTTTATACTTTATGCACTCCGCCGAAGGTTGCTCAGTGAATATGGGAATAAGAATGAATCAGCAGCAGCAGTATTAATAGGCCCTAAAGGCTAGGCACCACCGAGTTAAAGGATATACACCAATCAGCCATGACATTATGACCACCCGCCTAATATTGAGTAGGTCCCCCTTTTCTTGACCCGTCCAGGCATGGACTCCACTAGACCTCTGAAGGTGTGCTGTAGTATCTGGATGACCCCCCCTTAATATTGAGTATGTCCCCCTTTTCATGACCCATTGAGGCATGGACTCCAACTAGACCTCTGAAGGTGTGCTGTAGTATCTGGATGACCCCCCCTTAATATTGAGTATGTCCCCCTTTTCATGACCCATTTAGGCATGGACTCCAACTAGACCTCTGAAGGTATGCTGTGGTATCTGGATGACCCCCCTCCCCTAATATTGAGTAGGTCCCCCTTTTCTTGACCCATCAAGGCATGGACTCCAACTAGACCTCTGGAGGTATGCTGTAGTATCTGGATGATCGCCCCTAATATTGAGTAGGTCCCCCTTTTCTTGACCCATCGAGGCATGGACTCCAACTAGACCTCTGAAGGTATGCTGTAGTATCTGGATGACCGCCCCTAATGTTGAGTAGGTCCCCCTTTTCTTGACCCATCGAGGCATTGACTCCAACTAGACCTCTGAAGGTATGCTGTGGTATCTGGCACCAAGCCATCAGTAGCAGATCTTTCTGTAAGCTGTGAGGTGATCGGCCTCCATGGATCGGACTTGTTTTTCCAGCACATCCCACAGATGCTCGATTGGGTTGGGATCTGGAGAATTTGGAGGCCAAGTTAACACCTCAAACTTGTTGTTATGTTCCTCAAACCGTTCTTGAACCATTTTTGCAGTGTGGCGGTGTCCACAGGATAAGCCCGGGGATGTGAGCAAAACCATCACATATGCCTTTGTGTACTATGAGATTTGGTCTGGAATGATCTATCCTGATGCATGTTTCTATGTCCTGTATGTAACATTGCATGCCGTTTCTTCTACGTACTGGCCAGCCACAGTTTCCTGCTTTCCTGATGCATGTTTTTTTTGTTTTTGTTATCCTACTTCTATTTACATCGCACTCTTGAACTGTATTGGATGATCCCACGTTGCACTTTGTGGACTTCCGCGCTTTCATATGTTTTATTGGTCAGAGCCTTGTAAAATGAGTTTTGTTCTCTGCCATAAAGCATCCCCAGACTCTTACGACGACATAAAGCTGAAAAATCTGTGAAGATATTTGTACTTGTTTGATGTCATGTTTTAGGCCAGACGTAGGGTTTGTTCGCACCAGACACTCCGTGATGACACAGACCCAATGCATATAAGTGGCAAAATCCATTATTTTCAGTAGGGGTCACTGCCACTGTTTATCATTACCATTGCCACTGTTGAACATTACCATTGCCACTGTTGAGCATTACCATTGCCAGTGTTGAGCATTGCCATTGCCACTGTTGAGCATTGCCATTGCCACTGTTGAGCATTGCCATTGCCACTGTTGAGCATTACCATTGCCACCGTTGAGCATTACCATTGCCACGGTTGCGCATTACCATTGCCACTGTTGAGCATTAGCATTGCCAGTGTTGAGCATTAGCATTGCCAGTGTTGAGCATTAGCATTGCCAGTGTTGAGCATTACCATTGCCACTGTTGAGCATCACCATTGCCAGTGTTGAGCATTACCATTGCCACTGTTGAACATTACCATTGCCACTGCTGAGCATTACCATTGCCACGGTTGCGCATTAGCATTGCCACTGTTGAGCATTAGCATTGTCAGTGTTGAGCATTAGCATTGCCAGTGTTGAGCATCACCATTGCCACTGTTGAGCATTACCATTGCCACTGTTGAGCATTACCATTGCCACTGTTGAGCATTACCATTGCCAGTTTTGAGCATTGCCATTGCCACTGTTGAGCATTACCATTACCAGTGTTGAGCATCACCATTGCCACTGTTGAGCATTACCATTGCCAGTGTTGAGCATCACATTTGCCACTGTTGAGCATTACCATTGCCACTGTTGAGCATTACCATTGCTACTGTTGAGCATTACCATTGCCAGTGTTGAGCATCACCATTGCCACTGTTGAGCATTACCATTGCCACTGTTGAACATTACCATTGCAAGTATTGAGCATTACCATTGCCACTGCTGAGCATTCCCATTGCCACTGTTGAGCATTCCCATTGCCAGTGTTGAACATTGCCATTGCCAGTGCCAATGCCATTGTTGAGCATTACCATTGCCAGTGTTGAGCATTGCCATTGTTGAGCATTACCATTGCCACGGTTGTGCATTGCCACTGTTGAGCATTCCCATTGCCAGTGTTGAGCATTCCCATTGCCACTGTTGAGCATTCCCATTGCCACTGTTGAGCATTCCCATTGCCACTGTTGAGCATTCCCATTGCCACTGTTGAACATTACCATTGCAAGTATTGAGCATTACCATTGCCACTGCTGAGCATTCCCATTGCCACTGTTGAGCATTCCCATTGCCAGTGTTGAACATTGCCATTGCCAGTGCCAATGCCATTGTTGAGCATTACCATTGCCAGTGTTGAGCATTGCCATTGTTGAGCATTACCATTGCCACGGTTGTGCATTGCCACTGTTGAGCATTCCCATTGCCAGTGTTGAGCATTCCCATTGCCACTGTTGAGCATTCCCATTGCCACTGTTGAGCATTCCCATTGCCACTGTTGAGCATTCCCATTGCCACTGTTGAACATTACCATTGCCAGTGCCAATGCCACTGTAATGGCCATTATGCTGAGCAGTTAGACACTGAAAAAAATATCTGGATTTTTGATAAGCTTTTCTGCCTTCTCAATCAATTACATTGAATGGGGTCCCTCACATATATGCATAAATACACATTAACATGTGAATGTCTGGTGTGAAATTAGCCCACGGATGGCCGTATAGAGGGAACGAGTGCCTACAGTTGTTACAAGCACTTGTTATCTTACAAAGAAATATTACGACTTCTTGGAAAAATGTTTGTCAGGTTGTCAATGCTTCCCTTTCACCATAGAAGAAAATAATGCTACAGTGCTTTGCATAATCGTTGACCCTCCCACCTCCCTCCCTCTTTGGACTCTTCCTCCATTGGTGGCGTGAAAGCGGACCTGGCACACGAAATCTAAGATCTGCTTCATTTGTAGTCCTGACTCCCTATAAGAAAGGCTAAGGGATTTCTCATCTTCATTATTGAGCATTTTTTGTTTTCTTCCCCGTCTGTCATATTCATCGATTTTCATTTACCTTTGGTGTAATCTAGTGTTAGTTCCTGCTCAGGTCTGGTTTCTAGACCGTTAATAGGAGCGTTGCATGACTCTGGAAGGCTGCATAGCACGTAGCTGTCCTATCAGTTCTAGAATTGCATTCACCTGGTCACATTAATAATAAATTAATCTGCGCTAATGGGACTGAATGACACCAAGAGGTAAAAAGCTGCTGCGCAAAGGCTGTCATGCCCCAGTCACTCACCGATAACATAATACAGCGCTAGAAACCCCCTAGTGATGTGCTAAATAAATCAATGAATAAATACATTGGAATAAATACACTGAGTGGCCGGATTATTATATACACCGAGTGGCCGGATTATTATATACGCTGAGTGGCCGGATTATTATATACACTGAGTGGCCAGATTATTATATACACTGAGTGGCCAGATTATTATATACACTGAGTGGCCGGATTATTATATACACCGAGTGGCCGGATTATTATATACACTGAGGGGCCGGATTATTATATACACTGAGTGGCCGGATTATTATGACCACCTGACGTTTGTAGGCAAATTAGCTATAATTTGGCGCTGAAGTTGCTAGAGGGCCAGACCATTATAAATAGGGAAGCGGGTTGGTTACCACGACAGTAGAAGTGATTGGGAAGATTCGGGGAAACAACGCGATGTAACAGCCTTTGAACGCGGGATGATTGTTGGCGCTCGGAGCCATGGAGCGAGTATCAGCAAAACAGCAGAATCCGTTACATGTTCAGGAGCGGCTCATTGTTAAAGTGTTTAAAGACCGGACTGTCAGCCGAAAATCTGGGTGTGAGCGTGCGAATTGTGGCCGTCAGCGACTAGTCAATGTTAGGGCAGAACGGGGGAGGGGCAAGACTGGTACAAGACAACAGAAGGGCCACAGTGCCGTGTCAGATTCCTCGCATCACCTTTCATCATCTCGTGGAGTCACCAGGCGGCCCAACCAAGTACTGATGGGGTGGTCATAATAATCTGGCCACTTACGGTATACTGGCCACTTGCGCTCTATAAGGCGCTCCGGTCTATAGGACGCAGGGATTCTGTGACGG